CTCCAAACCCTTACGTGAGGAACATTTAGTTGAGCAGCTATTACCTTTGTCCTTGTTCCAGGGACATCCTCAATGATTTCTAAAATGTCTTCATCAGTTGAATCCATTATTGGACGACCACTATTGCCATCAACTTGCGTTTGAAATGTACTCATTTTTCGTAAATGACGATAAATAATCAGAAATAATCGTCTATTGGGTGTATTTCGATTAAAGTATTTTATTGCATAACGCATTACGGCTGCTGCTTATTTCCTTGACATTCACCTACGATATTCCCGATAGTTTATTGAAATCATAATTTAATCTGATCCAACTTACCCAAAGTTAAATGCATATCTGACATTTCTTAAAATGTATAGGCCATTGTAATATCAAAATTTTTAATATTAATCTTATTCACACAATAAATGATAGCTTCAAATTATTTACTATTATTGATGGAGCTGTTTGTAATTATTGTATCCGTAGAAACTAATTGTAATTTTATGGCCAACTATGAAAAAACTAGTTTTTCGAAAAAGTAATAAAAAGCAAAAAAGTTTTAAAAATATTGTGTTAAACTAATGATGCCACAAAATTTATTTGATTTGAACGTACTCAAAAGTTTAAGTGGATTTAGGACTGCACACTCCCCTTAAAATTTTTCTATGCGCTTAGATTTTGTTGTTTTTCATTTGTATGAAAAATGCTTTCAGAACAAGAAAAAACGTTTCCATTTTTATTACAAAATGTCAAGTGTAGTTTCGAAGATAATGCAAAAAAACAATTTTTATTTTGTAACTTTAAAGTCTTCTCGTGTACACTTTTGTACTAAGGTAAGTTGGATTTAATCAATTTATTTTTGTCCCCGGAATGCATGATTTAATTTATGACATACCTTTTTGAAATACCCTGTATATATATACATACTTATATATATATATATATATATATATATATATATATATATATATATATATATATATATATATATATATATATATATATATATATATATATATATTGTTACGATGTAAAATCAAGAACATATCGGTTTGTTTAAAAATATTTCAAAGTTCAAATAATTAAAATAATTCCGATAAGTCGAATTAATAAACGACAAACATTTCGAAGAATGAAAGTCCTTTTATCTTTGGATTACTTATATTGAACAAAACGTAAGCTATGCATAAATTATTTTCTTTGTTAAAATATATTTGAGTGACGTGAGCGAACTTAAGACAATTGAACCGGGTTTTCCAAATACATTAGTGCAGTGATTAGGACAATAGAATAGATTTTAGAAAGATAGGTTTTTGTTAGTTTTTAAGAATTGGTAGAAAAAGATTAGTTTTTAAATAATGTTCGGAAATTTTATAATTGTAGGTAAAAATTAATTTGTGATCAAAATGAAGAAATGGGAGATGTATGACGCGTTTTGATTGGATGAGATTGAAAAAGGTGGGAGGTTTGGTTTAAGAATGAGACGTTAGTTAGTTTTGGAAGAAAAAAAAGATAGTCAGTTGGTTTCCAAGGGTGCAAGGCGAACGGCCGTTGTTCTCGGGTAGTTTCCCAGAGGTAGGAAGCAGTAGCAGTGAAATTTTCGTATAGTTAGTGTATCTGACAGAAGCTGATCCAGTAAAAGATTGTAAGTTATATTTTCTACTTATATTCCAAGAGTCACTGTTCAGGCCAACGAGAGATTCAGTTTATCGTAAAGAAAAGATATTCAAAGAGTCATTTTTCACTCAGGCCAACGAGAGATTCAGTTTATTGAGAGAAGAAGAAGCTAGCATAATTTGAACGATTCGTGCATTTGAAGGAGATCATTAAGGACGGTAAACTTGCAATAATTTGTTGTAAGATTGCTGATTGCCTAGGGAGCGGCTGAGAGTAGATAATATAGTCTACCAGGAACAAGGATTTGGACCACTCATCATCAGAGAGAGATAGTTGTTTTCTGCAGTTTTTCTTTTATTGATAACACAATTTTTACACTTAATTTAGAAAGGATATAAATATTTTGATTAGGAGATTATTTGGTTTTTCCAAGTAAATGTTGTGCAGTAATTAGGACAATAGAATAGATTTTAGAAAGATATGTTTTCGTTAGTTCTTAAGAATTGGTAGGAAAAGATTATTTTGCAAATAAGTTTCAGGAAATTTTATAATTGTAGGTAAAAATTTGTGTGTTATCGAAATGAAGAAATGGGAGATGTATAACGCGTTTTGATTGGATGAGAGTGAAAAAGGTGGGATGATTAGTTTGAGAATGAGACTTTAGTTAGTTTTTGAAGAAAAAATGATAGTCAGTGGGTTTTCAAGTGTGCAAGGCGAACAGTCATTGTTCTCTGGTGGTTCCCGAGAGGTAGCAAGCAGTAGTGTTGAATGTTAGTGAGTTTTTGTGGAGTTAGTGTATCTAACAGAAGCTGAAGCAGCAAAATATTGTAAGTCATATTTTTCTACTTATATTCCAAGAGTCACTGTTCAGGCCAACGAGAGATTCAGTTTATCGTAAAGAGAAGATATTCCAAGAGTCAATTTTCACTCGGGCCAACGAGAGATTCAGTTTATCGAGAGGAGAAGAGGCTACCATAATTTGAATGATTCGTGCATTTGAAGGAGATCATTAAGGACGATAAACTTGCAACAATTTGTTGTAAGATTGCTGATTACCTAGGGAGCTGCTAAGAATAGATGATATCGGCTACAAGAAACAAGGATTTGAACCACTCATCATCAGAGAGAGATCGTTTTGTTTTTCTGCAGTTTTTTCTTTTATTGATAACACAATTTTTTCAATTACTTTAGAAAAGATATAAATATTTTGATTAGGGGATTTAGAATAATAATTGGGATTTTGAGAGTTTAACTTATATTTTTTGTACCATTAATTTTGAAGGTTCACGTACGTAGAACAAAATTTTAAGAATCAATATATGAGATATTGTTTATTGAAAACATTTGAGTGTGAATTTTATTTCATTATTTTTATTTCAATATATAGTGTTATATCATATGTGTGTTTTATTATTCCGGTATTCTTTGGACCTTACCTTTCACATGTGAAGCATAGATATTGAAGCACGAATATAACCCTGAGATAAGAGAAATAAAAAGTGTGATAGAATGCTAATCATATCATTTAAATAATTTTAATTAATCTATTAATTAATTAGCTAATTAATTGCTTGGCGCACTAAGACTTGAATATCACAATAATATATATATATATATATATATATATATATATATATATATATATATATATATATATATTTATATTTATATTTATAATAAAGATTCCTAATGGATATTGATGTAACTAATAATTTTATTATACCAAAAGAAGGGGACATCAAGCAGCATTTATAGGGTTTATATCACCCTATCGTTTCATTTTAAATGCGTGAACAACATTCCCCAGACAAAAACTGTGAAAATCAAAAAGTGACAGGCAAAAATCCAAACCAAACCGGCGGTGCTTTAATTTTAATTTTCCCCAATGAATGCATTATGGCAGAATTTAATGGGTCTGTTATATAAACTCACCCCCGAGCGTCACAAATTAGTCAGGGAGTAAATTTCTCTGTCAAATTATGCAAATGCGTTTGCGATTCTGACTCCACTCATGCCTAATGTTTCTCTATTGTATCCTCGATAACTTTACAATCGTGTCTGTTATGGTTTGCGAGAACGATTCTATGAAATATCCAGGGAATTTAAGGATTTAATTGTGCACCGATTTCGGATATATCATCAGGAACATGCGACGTGAATTTAAAATCACTAATGTTTGATATACGGGGAAGTTCAAAAGTATAAAATAGTTTTAAAACTATTTGTTTTTTTCGATGTTGTATTATTCCAGTGATCTAACAGTAATATGTGAACAAAATAAAAACTTTATTGTTTAAAATATAAAGTCAGTAACAGAACATTCCAAAAATTTTGATAATTTCTGGTGGATACCAATGTCAAATACTAAGGAATCACATTAGACTGAAAATTTACCTGGAAACTTCATATTGAACAAATAGAAACAAAATGCAATAAAGAACTAAACTTCTTAAAATCCATTATGCGAACTTGGTGGGGTGCATTACCTCAAAAAGCTCTAATTTTCTATAAAGCTTACATAAGATCAATAATTAATTATGGTTGTACACTTTATGGAACAGCCAATAAAACAAATCTACGTAAGGTGGATATTATACAAAACAAATCACTCAGAATATGTCTGAGAAAAATGAAATCTACACCTGTTGAACCGTTAAGAGCTGAAGCAATCGAACCTCCATTAGAACTGAAAAGATCATTTTTGCTGAAAAAATGATTATTAAGTCACTAAAGAAAAACTGACCATTCATTAGCAGCATATATAAGTTAAACGAATACGACCTAACTAAGCTTTTTTGGATTCATAAAAACTCTCCTCCTATTTGCGATGGATTAAGAAACTTGACCTTAAAACCACCAACAAGTGAAGTTTGATCACGCATGTTATCCAGCACATTTATTTAAAATAAAAATTCTTGAGAGTGATCTTTGTGAAGTCTGTAATAAAATCGGTGACCTGGACCACATCTTTTTTGATTGTTTAAAATATAGAACTCAATCTAATGAGCTTTTTAAAAAAGTTTTAAAAACAAACATTGAAAGCCCATATAATATACTGCATCTTCCTGCTTTAGACAAAAAAGAAATTTACAAGGGAAAAAACAGGTAGGATACAGGAATTACACACTTTGGTTCGCAGTCTTTGAGGTATATTTTTATTTTTAAGTATGTATTAGAATCTTCCGAATACTGCCCATTCCATTTTTACACGTCTGCTTATTTCAGTAGTCTGATTTTCTTTGCTTACCTTACCGAGATATGTATATTTATCTACATGTTCTATCTTTGTCCCTTCGATATTTATCATAGGTTTGACATCTTTGTTTGAGATTAGTTTAGTTTTGCTGAAATTCATTTTCAGGGTTGGCAATCATAATGGCTATTTTTATTTTTGAACTTGCTGCTCTAAACAAATCAATCGATCTGCATTGATACAAATCACGTAGATTCTTCACACATGAGTTCTGCCTTCGGCCAACAGATCTTCTTCCTTGAATTTTTCCCTGTATTATGAGTCTCAAACTTTCATATTTTGGTCCCCTCATCACGTGGCGTAGGTATTCCAGTATAGTGGTTATTAGTTCTGTTTCTTTACCAACCCTTTCCAGTATTTTTTATTTGTGATTCTATCAGTCTACGGATAAACACGTATTTAGGTCGCTGTGAGAACAAATCAAAATAACTTTCGTTTTTGGTAAAATTTTATAATTAAAAATTGATATAGTGCACAGGTAATGTATGTGGTATTAAATAGTATAAAAAATTGTGTAATCTGAACATACTGTAAGTGTTAAAATAATAGAAATTATTTATTGAATTAAGGTTAAATTGATACAAAACCATTTATTTCTAAAATAAAAACTTGCTCTCAATTCAGGCGATAAAATCAGTGAACAATCATTAACCTTGCAGAATCGGACTTGAAATTTTATAGTTGTTTGTAATTTTTATATAATTTATTATAAAATTATGATAAAGTTCACGTAAGGTACCTGAATACAATATGCCCATGATGGTAATATGCCCATTTCCATGTTTTGTTTTAGTATTTGATATTCGGGGAAGGAGACGCTGGACACACTGAACGCCTAATATAACTAAGGCCCATATTTATAAACGATGCTCAAGTATGGATCGATACTTGAGATCGACCTTGAATCAAATTTGTGTTCTATAAACCGTTCTCAAGCACGAAGTCGAGCTTGAGAACGCAAAAATGACAGCTCGTACTCAAGCATCCGATGGACCTGCCTTGAGCACGGGATCCTAACCTAACTTGTTTGTTTATATTTATGAATATTTCCAATACAATATTTTCTTTGTTTTTTGAGATTAATATTGTCGTTCAACATCCAGGATAAAGTATTGGTAGCTTATTATTTGATCAAAGTTGATTAAAAGTTAGAATGGAAAGAGGGCAAATTCCAGAATTATTATGAATAGTGAATATGTATGCAGTGCAGACACAATCTACTTACTCCAGTATTATAGCCAGGTATTTATTGATAATTGGCCAAATAAAAAATAGATTATTTGATAAATACATCTTTTTAGGCAATGATCAACAAAATAGATATAATAATAGTACACATGTAATGTGTAAATGGATATTTGGAACCTGGAAAATATGGTTTTCCTGTCTGCAATGAGGCCTACAAACCAAATTAAATACATATCTTGCATAATAAGTGCTACAGCAGTACTTTGCAATATATGTTTACAGGAAAATAATGATAGTGATGATGATTTTCTAGAAAGTAGTAAATAGAAACTTTAATGATGTGGAATGAGGTTTAAATTTTAGGAGACATTTTATTCACCAATGTTACGCATGGGAATGTAAATACAATATTGAATACTTATATTATGTATGTTCTACCTTATTTCTCAAAATGTCAGAATGATTATCATTACTTGATTACACTTTTTGTTGGTTTTTTTATTTTATATCTTATCTTTGTTTAATTCAAAGTTGTTTATTTTGAGAATTAAATACCTATATTATATTAGATATAGTATGTTTTTGTCTTATTTATAAAAATGTGTTTGTTTTAATTTTAAAATAAATGAGGGTTTTCCCTCACTATGCTCAGACAACTCAAGTAAGTATGTCTTCTCTGAGTACAAGGAGTTTCCCTCATTTTAATTAAGTGTTTATTCCTTTCATAAAACATTTCCTTACCAAATAAAAATTAATACAAATTTAGAATATTAATATTCTTTATTTAAAAAATTATAGTTATAATTAAATACAATGTAAAATAGATTATTTTATTTTATAGCTTCAGCTATCAGGAGTAAACTGTACAACAATTAGAACATTACAAAAATATAAAGTAATTATATATATATATATATATATATATATATATATATATATATATATATATATATTAATATATATATATATATATATATATATATATATATATATATATATTAATATATATATATATATATATATATATATATATATATATATATATATATACATATATATTTAAAATATATTCAATGGTTGAATATCAGAGGTTTTATCAGTCAATAATTGGCAAATAAGTCGTCAACTACTTTATTGATTTATTTGAATACGTTTCGCTTTTATTTTTAAAAGCATCATCAGTTCACTACAAATAAAAAAGATTTTAGCATATAAGTAAACAACCACCAGGGTTCATACTTACAAAAACAATTTGTAGATTTTTTAAAGGATGTTATAAAAACTCTATAATAACTTAACATTAAAGATTACAAACTAAACAAGAGAAACGAGACAAAAAAATACAAGAAAAACAGTAAGAATACTATTGTTCATTTAATTTTAACCGATGGCTTCATTTGAATGCTAGTTTAAGCTCTTTCGAGGATGAAATATATATATATATATATATATATATATATATATATATATATATATATATATATATATATATATATATATATATATATATATATATATATATATATATATATATATATATATATATATATATATATATATCGAAGTAGCAGCAATTTATTAAAAATTTTTAATAATTTTCTGTAAACAACATAAAAATATTATGAACTATGTATTGCAATCAATACTTAAAAAAAACTGAAAAAGAAACATACATAATCAAAAAACAAAAGACTATACAACAAATAAAAAGGTAAAACCATATCTTACCAGCAGAAATTAAAATATTAACAATCTTAAATCTACATTAAATACTATCTAGAAATAAAATAAACAGGAACGAGAATAGAAAGAAAATAAACATGATTTTACAACACAAAGTATATTTTTTTCGTCTTTATAGAGGGGGGAGGGTCTGAAATCTTAAGACATCTCAGTCCAGGATGCCGCCTGACTGACCTTAGTGCAGGATTCATTCTTTGTAGTTCCGGCGATAGTTCCCGAGGTACTTTAAAACATCCTCTCTTCGCTGATTGCTAAAACAGACCCTACTCTGACATTCAGTGCTCCTAAAGTGAAAAGGCCACTGAAAGACCGAGTTAACACTTCCCAAACACTATCTTCAGTTGGGAATAAGCCACAATGTTTTGTATGTTATAGTTACTGATGTTTTAATCTCTATGACCAGATATTGTTACCAAAAATACAAAATTGTGATTTATTTTCAGAAAATAAATCACAATTTTGTATCTATGATAACAGCCTCTGGTCATATAGATTGAAAAATATTAATAAATAAACATATTATATCTTATTTCTACATTTTCCCTAAAACTGCAGAGTATCTAACAAAGGAAAAAGATCTTCTAGCGCCTGAAAATAAACAATTAATTATAGACAAATTCCAGTGACAAGTCAAACATGATAAAATCTATAATTACCCTTTTTATAGTCTATTAACTTCAATGAAGCTAATTCAGCTTCATCAATAGCTCTCTGCCTCTCCTTCTCAGCTGCTTCTCTTAAGGCTTTTGCTTTCAGCGTATCTTCTTCTAAAATCTTCATTTTCATCCTATGAATCTCGTCTTGCTGCCTGATGGTATAATCAGGCAGCAAGATGTTGACCTCAGGTTGGCAGTTATAATTTGTTGCTATGAACTCCCAAGCCATATTTTTCTCCATTACTGAAGTGGAAAACAGTTTGTCCTTTTGTTCTCTACCACAGCGTTTTCTGTTACCAGCTGAATTAGGAGAACTTTTTCCTTTGTTGAGTAAGGTGCATATTTACTGCTATTTCCACTCATCTAAAATTTACATAACCAATTTATTTAGCGTACGGCTTACACATGCAATATAATTATAATGATTGTAACGCATTACATACATATAAATATATCCAAAAACAAATATACATATATAAGCATATATTTTGAACATCAAAAATTATGCCTCAGACACAGTAACAAAATAGAAATTAATTCTGTAGAATAAATATTTTTTATAACATATTACATACCTTAAAATAGTTAATATCCAGTATTAATTTCAAACACAAAATATTAATATCAAACACAAAATTTCAGTAAGTAGCATAAACTAAATTTGGCGCTAAAAGTTTAGTCACAATTATGAGAAAATTGACAGAATCTTCTTTTTTTCGATGTTTATTCGTAATTTACTTTTACCGTACTAATTTTTTCTTGCTTGAGATCAAACTTGTACGAGAATACCCGAAGTATCGTTTATAGAACACAACAAATACTTGAGCATGACTTTGACGTAAGTTCGACTTGGCCAAGCACGTTCTCGAGCACGATCTTGAGTACCGACTATAAATACGGGGCTAAGCCCGTGACCGACCTCAAGGTTAGTTGTGAGCTTGCCGTGGTGCAGTCAAGTTGTACGTGGTTTTTAAGAGCGTGTTTATAAAAATTGACGTAAGTTTTCACCTCTGTTTTGCACTTAAACGTTTTAATTTTTCTACGACATTAAGTGATTTTAGTCTGCCATAGAGTACTTAAAATGTAAGTAAAAATAAAATATTTTATTATTCAAAATGTTTTTATAATTTAAGAAAATGTATTAATCATCATGTGTCAACAATATGCCCATAGTGTATGCTGACAATTTGCTCAATTGGGCATATTGCCAGCTAATTATAACAGATAATTTATTGATTTTTTTTGTTTTAGATAACATGCCTTGTGTCAGAAATAAGGAAATACGGTCGCAATGGAGCAATCAACAGCTAGAATCCGCAATTGCAACAGTAATGAATGGAATGTCATACAATGCGGCAAGTCAAAGGTATAATATTTCTAGACGCACTTTGAAACGCTATGTAAAAAAAAATAGTACCAAAAAGGCAAAAATGGGGAGAAAGACTATTTTGAATATAGATCAAGAAAACGAATTGTCTCGACGAATTGTTAGATTGGCAGAAGTTGGGTATCCCCTCAGCAATAAAACTTTTAAAAAATGTGTGTTTACTTATTGTGAACAAAACAATTTGCCACACTTTTTTTCACAAAGAACCAAAATGGCTGGACGTTATTGGTTAAAAGGATTTTTGCAAAGAAACCCTGAAATATCGATAAGGAAAGCACAAAACATGAATCCTGCTCGGGCTCAAAAATTGAACAAGTTCATAGTAAAAGACTATTTTGATAAATTAAGGGATGTACTTCAAGAATTAGATTTAATCGACAAACCTGAAAGAATTTACAATGTGGACGAGAAAGGCTGCAGACTCAGTCTGCATCATCAACAAACCGTTCTAGCAAAGAAAGGCGCGAAACGCGTACATTTGGTTGCTCCGGAACATGGGGAAAA